AATATTAAAGGATATTGATGCCAGCATCCAAATAAATATCAAACATAGATGTTTATGTCTATAATATAATTTCAATTTCAAGTCAAACTTCATTCTATTCCATACTTTTCTTCATCTTGAGCAGTTGCTTTATTGATCATTTATTTTATCATTTTTACAAAAACATCTCTCTTAAGAACAAATGTACTTTTATTATTCCAAGTAGCCAATGTAAAAAGGTCCCATCTAATATTAAGATATGTTATTCTCAGTTAACTAAATCTTGTATCTTTTATCAGATGTTAGGTTTTAGAGACTTTTGGTTAGTCTTCATTAACTAAAGTAAGTCTAACATTTAAACTTATTAATTATATAATATTTAATAATATTCAATTTTTACAAAGTGCTAAATAAGCGGTACCAAAATTTTAAAACACTTTGACCTCTCTAACTATCCTAGGATTACTCTTCACTCTGTTATAAATTTCTTTATATAAAGGTTTTGAGATTATTAAATTATGTCTTACTAAATGCATTAATAAAGTTATTCTTGAAGACCTAAACTCTTCTTTATTTCAAGTAACTCGAAAGGTATCACAAAGTATCTTGTAGTACCCTTAAATCTTTGCTCCTGTATTGTTTCTTATCAATCTTCATGAAAATTTAACATCTAAAGTTCATAGATTATCCTGACCATATTTTAAAAATCCAGAAATTTTTTTTCCTTAATTATCCGGAAAAAATCCGGAATTTACATAAAGATGTTAACAAGGAGAGAGGCGTGCTCTTCCATTTTTTAATATTACTATATTACGCCAGTTCAAAAGTATCTATGTATAAAAAAAAGTATCTATGAATAAAAAACTACATAGAATTTTCATCAAAAAAGAAAAAATAATAATAAAATTTTAACAATAATAATAAGAAGAAAAAGCCAAAGAAAAAGTAGAAGACTATATTTAAAAGCTGTTAAACAATGCGGAAACTTTTTTAGACATGCACTTATACATTTAAATACATAATGGATAATGAATTACTGCTTCTATTGACCAAAGATATACAAATAGATAAACATTTAACACGTTATTACAGATCAAAGGCGCCACCATAACTGAAATCCCATGGGCATTATTTATTTTAGCGTTTTGGTTTTTATGTAGTAATTTTACAAAATAAATCGACATTTATACGACACTTTTGCTTGCCAACTTCTTTCAGTAAACATTTTACCTGTAAAACACCAACTTTTGGAAAATATAATGAATTTTATTTTTACTATTTTTGGGAGCATACTTCAATCGCAGTAAAAAAAAAAAAAAGAAGTAATAATAATAATCAAACACCAGACTTCTAAAGTACAAATAATAATAAATCTTTAGTAATAAACTTAAATAATTTAGTTAAAAAAAGAAAATAAATAAAATAAAAGTAAAGTAAAAAGATATTTAATTATTTTTTTTGTAATCAGATAGTTTTCTACAATAAGTTCTTCCACACAGTGCTTAAGATGTTTAAAACTTAATTTACAATACAACGACTTCTTCTTTTATAAAAAAATTTCCTTGCTCCAAAATTAAAAAAATTTAAACGTTTGTTAGATAAAGTTTAAATAAAATCTTTAAATTTATTTTAACTATGATAAACAAAAGTATAACATAATTATATTATAATAGATAACAAAAGATAACATAATTATATTATAGTGGTTCAGGTAAATCAAAAAAGAAAATAAATTACTTTAAACTATTTATTTCTTTTTCTTTACTTTATTATGAATGATGTCATAAACAAGAAGACTTGATGTAGAAACGTTTTTGGCAATTCAAACAATTAAATTTGATTTGCGTTCAAAGAAAAGCAACTCTATAACCCAATACCATCGTCAAAACTTTTTAAAGTCTCCAATTAATAAGAAGGTCTCCAATTAATAAGAAGTCATGTGAAAAAATGATACTACAAAAAGTGTGTACGAGAAGAGATTTGCAATGATACGACTGGACAGAAAACGAAATAATGGTGCAATAAATTTTGAATCACCGACAAACATACTGAGAAAAGTTTCTGTCCATAAGAAAAGTGATTAACTTAAAAAAAAAGTTATAAAACAATAAAAAATGAAATCTCTTTACTAATAGCTAAAAGAGCTATTTAAAAGATGTAAATTTACAATTTTTTTTTAAAAGAGAAGAGTTTGACACTCATCGCTAATTTTATTTTAAAAGTAGGAGACCATTTGCTTTTTTGCGCTGGGATTTTTATTAAACTTCAATTAAAATGCTTATTAATTTTTGATTTCCTCTGCGAGGGAAATCTTTTTGGCTTTGTTTTTTAACTAAATATAGCGTTCCGTTATTTATGGACAACACATTTGCTGTTTATATATTCTTGTTACTGTTTTATTTGATAACAGTAACAAACAAACAAAAATTTTATAGTGTTTTCAAAAACTATTTAATTACACTGGGCAACAAAAAAAAAATATTTTTTTTTTGTATCTTTAGCAACTTTATTCAAATTATACTATTTTTGGGCTGAGAAAAAAGAAAATAACAACAAAAATTTTTTATTAGCTCTAGTGTCTGAGATATAAAATGGAAATAAAATTTTATTTCAGTTAATTTTCAACAGAACAATATGACATAATTTACATATTCTAATAACATTTAAAGTACATTTGGTTTTTTTTTATTACAGATATATTCTAATAATTTTAAACAAAAAAAATTCTAACAGTTTTAAACAAAAAAATCATGATCATCAAGTTAATAGGTTTAAAGATGATTATGGGGTATCGTCACAAGATTGTGATCTTTTTGCTTTCCTTTTGTAGACTAGTTCTGGAGCATCCCTACACAAAAACCAACAGTAATCTGCAAGCATAGCCTTATTTCAACGACCCTGATATCTTTGTTCCATTACAGAAATAACTTGGTGAAACCTTTTCCCATGTTCATCACTAACAGCTCCACAATTGGGGGGGGGGGGGAGAGAAGTCTAGGTGTGAGTGGAGGAAATGAATTTTGAGGGACATGATACATCCAAGTTGATGGTATTTTTGCAGAAGTATTGTTACCAATTGAATGTAGTTATCATCTCTTTTGTTGCCTAAAAATCCACAAATCACTCCCTTAAGAGCTTCCCAAGCTTCTTTTTCTTGCCCTTTCAAAACTTCGTCAAATGCAGGATCCTTCATAAGCTGGCGTATTTGTGGTCCAACAAAAACACCCTCTTTAACTTTTATATCACTTATTTTTGGAAATTTGTTTCTTAAATACATAAAAGCCTGTCCTTCTTTGTTCATACCTTTGACAAAATTTTTCATTAAATCTAACTTAATATGTAATGGTGGAAGAAGAACATCTTTTGGATCCACAAGTGGTTCAGCAGCAACATTTTTTTCTTCTGTGTTGAGATTTCTTGCAGTCCAGTCTTCTTTTATATAATGTGAACTTCTGTCTCTACTATCTCACATACACAAAAAGCAGCAGTATTTAGTATACCCTAATTGCATTCCTAAAAGTATAGCAATGACTTTTAGATCACCACAAATTTTCCATTTGTGTTCATTGTAATTAATTGAGTTGAGGAGAACTTTCATGTTTATATAAGTCTCTTTCATGTGAACTGCATGGCCAATAGGAACAGAAGAAAGACGGTTCGTTGTGCAGTAATACAGCTTTCAAGCTTAGCTTAGATGAGTCTATGAATAATCTCCATTCAGTTGGGTCATAGTTCAAATTAAGACAATACATTAATCCAAAAACATCAATGCAAGCAACAAGATTATTTTTCTTCTCAAAAAAAGAAAGCAGATTCTGCTGCCGTTTTCTATAATGTGAAACCTTGACATCAAATTGGAGAAGATTCCACTGCTTTAGTCTTGAACCTAGAAGTTCTGCCTTTTCCTGTGACAAGTCCAGATCTCAAACAAGATCACTTAATTCTGCTTGACTCAATCTGTTAACAAAAAATCAGGGTCATTTGATGTAGAAGGCCTGTTTTCTTCTATTTCTACATCATTTTCATATTTATTTTCTGCTTCTAACTCATAACTTTGTGGTGGAGTAGGAACTGGTAAACTATCTGAATGAGGAATAGGTTAAGGACTGAAGTTCCCGAAAAACGTTTCTTCGGTATTTTTCGGGGAATCGAAAGGAATCGAAGGTTTTGGTTCCTTATCAGAATAGAAATCGAAAAGAGCCGAAATTATCGGTTCCTTATAAAAAAGGAATCGAAAAGAACCGAAGTTATCGGTTCCTTATCAAAATATGAATCGAAAAGAATCTAAGTTATCGGTTCTAAGTTTATCAGAATAGGAATCGAAAAGAACCGTAAATTGATTACTAACCTTTTTTTTAATAATATACATCCGTTAAAATCAATATTTTCGATTCTTTTCAATATTTTCAATATTTTCGGTAATTTTGATTCTTTGTAATAAAAACGGTAAATTTCAATTATTAATTAAAAAATCGTTTTTATTGTAAAGAATCGTTTTTATTACAAATACGTTTTAATAATGGCGTGCGAAATTAAATTCAAATTCATTCAAATTTAATTTCCCTCCCCTAAGGGATTAACTAAAAAATCGTTTTTATTGTAAAGAATCGTTTTTATTACAAATACGTTTTAATAATGGCGTGCAAAATTAAATTCAAATTCATTCAAATTTAACTTCCCTCCCCTAAGGGATTAACTAAAAAATCGTTTTTATTGTAAAGAATCGTTTTTATTACAAATACGTTTTAATAATGGCGTGCAAAATTAAATTCAAATTCATTCAAATTTAACTTCCCTCCCCTAAGGGAATAACTAAAAAATTGTTTTTATTGTAAAGAATCGTTTTTATTACAAACACGTTTTAATAATGGCGTGCGAAATTAAATTCAAATTCATTCAAATTTAATTTCCCTCCTCTAAGGGATTCCCCTTTACCAGTATAGATAGTGGGGTTTTGTGAAAATCTAATCAGTTACAATTTATTGTTTCACAAACAACTCTTTACAACAATTTACAATTACTTTACCAAACTACCAGAAGTGACAGTGAATTCTGACACCAAAAAGAAAACTTATAAATCAAGTTGTAATCAATGTCAAGCAGTGTTAACTTGCTGCCATGGAAGTACATCAGGAATGAGTAAACATTTAAGGTAAGTAATGTTTTTTCAATTTTTTCGGTAATTTCGATTCTTTTCAATATTTTCAGAATTTTTGCAATTTAAGTTAATATTAAGTAAAGATTTACTTTATAAAAAAATAAAAAAATAACAATAGTTCTGAATAATTAAATAAACATAAGCACTGATTATTATTTATTATACAGTAACAGCTAACAGTAATACTGTTTGTTACATTTAATTTAATATAGCGCCATCTATAGGAGTTATTTCAATTTTTTCGATTCTTTTCAATATTTTCAATTATTTCGGTAATTTCGATTCCTATCCCTATAATTATTTAATTTAAATCTTTTTTTATACAGATCTCAGCATCCCATTCAAGCCAAAGCTTATATTAAGGCAAAGAATGACAAGGTAGTGCAACTGGCTGCTGACAGGGAGGAAGTTGAAAAAAAGCTTGATAGATCTTCAAGTTTGAGAGGTTTCTTTCCAGCCACAACCACTAGTAAAAAAAGGCTGGATAACCTTAGTAAAAAGTCTCCACCATCCAGTCAGCAAGGTGATCATGAAAAACTTCAAGTAACTCTGGATGAGTATGTTAAGGTGAGAAAAATATTGAAATTTTTTAGTAGCTTAAATAATCGTTTTTATAACATTTTACCGTTTTTATTTGTAAATATTCGAATCAAAATCAAGCCCAAATTGATAAATTGAGAAAAAATATTTCTTCAAAAAAAACTCGGATCTTTTAGGCGCCGTTTGGGCCATGCAGAAAATTTTTTTTTTCTCAATTTACCAATTCGGGCTTGATTTTGATGAAACTAATGTTAGAAATCTATTTTTATATTAAATTAGAAACTTTTGTGCCCTTTTCCAAATTTATAATATACTTTAAAGTTTAATAACTCTGTAAATTAATAAAAAGTTAAATTTCCACACTAGACAACAATTTAATGATTCCAAATTAATGTCCTTTTTGCTCTAAACTCAATATTAACAAAGTTATTGAGGTTTAAAGTTTTTGATTTGACCCGTCACCTAACACGTGCATGTAGATTTAGTAAACACTTGTTTTTCAAACGTTTCAAAACTTAAAAGGCTTTTAACTTTAAACTTCTTTGTTTTAATAGATAGAGTGATTAGCACTGTCTCTAGAAACTGCAACAACTTACCCATATATATTAGGTTGTCAGGTCTTGTTTAACGTAATTTCGATTCCTTGCGGTAATTTCGATAATTTCGATTCCTTTCGATATTTAACATTTTTTTTATTATTTCAGATAACTAAATGGGATTCACAAAGCAGCTGTCAGCTTGATTTTGATACAGTTCTCACTCTGGCCTGCATCATGTCAAATCTTCCTTTCAATATTGTGGAAACTCCAAGAATGAAGTTGCTCTTGAACTATTTGGCACCAAAAGCAATCATAAAAACACCAAAAACACTTGCTACAACAAAGCTTGACACGATTCATCGTAATGTTGAAAAGGCAATAACCAATCAACTTGAGGAAGAAGTACCAGAATGTGAAAGTGTAGTTTTCACATCAGATGGTTGGACTGCAAAAAATGGTGATCCTTTTGAATCTCTCACACTCCATTACATCAACAGTGATTTTGAGTTGAAAAAGTACAGTTTGGACTGCCAGCTCATTTAAATAGGAAAACAGGTCCTTTACTTGCCAAAGGATTAGACACTATGATTTCAAAGTATGAAGTCTTGGCAAGGCCTGACCTAGAAAGAACATGTGTGACTGATGGTGCAGCTAACATGAAGGCGGCTGTCAGTTTAGCAACTTTATTGGACAAGCAATTGGTGTGTGTTGATCACATGTTGAACAATTGTTTGAAAGACACATTAGGAAATGGTGAGGTTAAGGTAATTGTTGATAAGTGCAAGAGACTTGCTCAAAGGACACATCAAAGCACTAAGGATTGGTATGAAATCAAACAAGAATGTGAATCTCTAGGGTGTAATCCAATCAAGCTAATCCAACCAGTGCAAACAAGATGGAATTCAAATGCAATGCTGTTCAAGTCAGTGTTAAGAAATGAGCAAGGTTTGAAGTCTGTCAGAGATAACAGCCTGAATGCAAACTTGACAATACTTATACCAAGTGATGAAGATTTTCAAGTAATTGCAGAACTTCATCCTTTCTTTCAAAATGTCAAGAATACTCAGAGATTTGGTCCTCAGATAAAACACAGTTCACAAGATCCAGCAACACCTCTTTTCATTGATTACTATGTGCCATAGGACAGTTACACAAAATACTTCAGGTAAAAAATATTTTTTTGTGATTCTTTCGATTCTTACTAATAATTTCGATGATTATCAACAAATTATGCAATTTTGATTATTTATTCATTTTTCTCTTTTCCAGGTTCAAGAATTGCTAAAGATGCAATGACCAGGTTTATAGAATACTTGGAAACTAGGATTCCAGATAAAGGCACTGAAGTTAATGACTTTAATCTTGCAAGTGTGTTTGATCCATTTTATAGAGGTTATTCTATCACATTAATCAAGGGCAACAAAGATCATTTAGATGGAATAATAGACCAACTGGTAGATAATCATCCAACTACCAGAGAATACAATGAGGCTTTTGAGGCTTCATTACCTTCTGCAATGCCAAACTTAGATGAAGATATGGATGATTTTGAGAGAATGGCCATGGAAAATGATGGAAATGATGCACCAACTTTGGCAGGACCATCAGAGCCTCCTCTGAAGGTAGATATTCATTTTTATTAATAATAATTTCGATTCTTATAAATATTTCCGATACTTATAAATATCGATTCCTATACACATTTTTGATTCTTATACACATTTTAGATTCTTTGCGGTAAATTCAAATTCAAATTTTTTTTTTAGATGGAATTTAAGAGGTACTTGTCTATGCAAAAGCCAGCTAAGGATGTGAAGGTTTTGGAATGGTGGAAAGTCAATCAAAAGGAACTGCCATTACTAGCTGCTATGGCAAGGAAGTACTTGTGTCCACCAGTGACTTCATGCTCTTCAGAAAGGCTATTTTCATTAGGAGGAAATATTATTAGTGATAAAAGACACAATATGAAGCCAGAGACCCTTCAAAAAATAATGTTCATAAAAGAAAACTTTCCACTAGTCAAATCAAAAATAAGGTCCTGGGACAAAAAATGCCCTGGTAAACCAGGCTATCAGTCTCAACCTCTACCATCCACCTCTCAAGATCAACCTCTACCATCCACCTCTCAAGATCAACCTCTATCATCAACTTTACAGACTCAACCTCTACCATCACCTTCTCAGACTCAACCTCAACCATCTCCATCTACACTAACCCAATCAACCAAGCAAAAAAAAATGAAAAGTTTTTTGAAACCAAATGAATCACAGTCTCAAAGTCTACTACAAAGAGCTAAAAAAAGGAAACTTGTACTTGAATCACCAATGAAAAAATCACCAATGAAAAAAAACCCTATATATGATGCATCTAAAGATTTATTTAATACTGAAGCTAGTGATAGTTCTACTAGCATAGCTTATAGCACAGGCTTGGTCGGGAAGCGGGAGCGATCGCTCTCGATTGCTGACCACGAAAATAATATTTAGTTGCGAAAAGCTGGCCAGATTTTTTAGTCGTTTTGAGAACATTTTAAAAAGCAAAAAAAAAAAAAGCAACGAAGATTAATTGGACCGATGAGAGACAATTATAAAAAAAAAAAAGTAGGCAAATAAAATATCTTTAAACGCGAAAAAACTTAAAGCTAAATAAATTACATATAGAACAAATATTTTCGAAACATCGCTTTTTTATAATTTTTTTAAAAAATTAAGCGATGTTTTTTATATAAAGTAACAACTTACGATTGTTTAAAAGAGAAACAAATATTCTTTATTTAACTAAGTTTGCAAGTTTTAGTTTTACTTAAGCTTAATTTATTTTACAAATAAAAAAGTTAATTTTTTTAATACCTAATTTATGTTTCGCGTAGTTTGAAAAGTTTAACATATTTGAAGCGATTCTTCTTAGTAAGATAAACAAATGAAAAAATTAAATCATTGAATTACTATAAGAATTAAATTATCAAGATAGAAATCAACTAAAAAGGTTAAAAATACTTAATGACCTGGAAGCGAAACTGCTTCACAATATCGGTGAAGATGTTTAGTGAGTGGGCTTTTTAATTTTAATTAGTATTTAAAGCAGAAAAAAGAATAACGAGTTTTAAGAATGGCAACTTGAGCGAAAACAATTAGAGTTAGTAAACCAATATCTAGAAACTTTTCTTTATATCTATTTATTTGCTATTATATATTTGTGTGCTGTCGTGACCTCAGGCGCGATGCTTGTTCATCCGCGAGTTACTTTGTATGCGTTGTTTGTCTTAAGTAACCAGAAACTTCTTATATGTTTGTTACATAATTAGTTTTAACTTTAACGATTATAACTTCATTGAAAACGCAATTATTTATGTAAGTCTTTGTTTAAATCATAAAATTGCTTTAAAAGATACATTACGATAAAAAACAAATACACAAAATTACATTTACATAAAGAATACAATCTCTTTTAAAATAAAAAATAAGAATATACTAATAAAATCTATGATTTATAATAAACTTTTAAAACTTTAACAATTTAATTAATATATATTTAAAACATTTATTTTCGTAAACAAATAATATATATTCTTAAAACAATGCTATCGTGAATAATACAATTTCAAAAACATTTTAGCAGAATACTCTAAAACTTTATTTCGCTTAATCAGCGTATTTTTTGAACCAATAGAATAAGTTTGTTTGTTAATTTGGCGGGTTTTTAGTGTTCGCAAATATTCTTTTTATTCTTTCGCACAATAATGTAACGAGAACATTCAAGTTTTTTATGTTTCCATGTATGTCCGTAAAACAAAAATTCTTTGTTTCGTACATAAACTTAAATGTTCTCAAAACGACTAAAAAACCTGGCCAGTTTTACGCATCTAAATATAATTTCCGTGGTCAGTATTCGAGAGCGATTGCTCCCGCTTCCCGACCAAGCCTGATAGCAGTGCTAGTAGTAGTCGCAATGGCAGCAAGGACAGTGTCACTGATCTCACTGATAGTGATTTAGAATAACTTATTTTTCAACTGTATTTTTGAAAATAAAAATTAAAAAAATTCAAGGTTTTCAATTCTTAGTAACAATTTCGATTCTTTGTAGCATTTTCGATTTTTTGCGATATTTCCCGCTAAGAACCGAAATTGGAACAAAAATTTACGGTAATTTCGATTATTGCCTAAAATTAGGAATCGAAAAGAACCGAAGTTATCGGTTCTTATCAGAATCGGAATCGAAATAACGATTCTTTCTTAAAATAAGGAATCAAAATTTACCGTAATAACGATTCTTGCCTAAAATAAGGAATCGAAAAAAACCGAAGTTATCAGTTTCTTTTCAAATTAGGAACCGAAATTTACCGAAGGCATCGTTTTTCGGTAATTCCAGTCTCTAGAATAGGTCGAGTGGCAGAGGAAAGATTTGGATATTTAACTGTTTTCTTCATTGACAAACCTATTTTCTTCATTGACAAACCTGTCTTAATGGGTGGGGTCAAGCAGTCATCTGTATGGTTTTTAGGCTCTCTCCATACCATAGGAACAGCAAAAGGCAAAGATCTTTTTTTATTTTTCAACCATTCTTGTAGTGTAACCGAACAAGAGCTACAGCATATATGTGGAGCCCATGACTTATCCTGGTTCCTTACCTTCATAATGCTGGTGAGCAGTCTGCACAAGAGGTGTCATAGTTCTTTTCTGTGAGAAAAATGTTATTTCACCACAAATGTAACAAAAATTATCGACTAAATTTACACACTTCCTTGGCATTTGTAAAATTTTACACTAGAAAATGAAAAAAAAACTATGAATAGATTAGACCAAAAACGTTAGCAAACACACATAACTAGCATCACAAGTTTTAAACATGAATCAAACATTATGGATAGTCAAAAACAAAAATCTCTTTTTTCAAAAAATGAAAGTTACCCTTGCAAGAGTTGAATTAAGCAATCGCAATTTGCAAAATCTGGAAAAATATCTGGTCTTCAAAATTTTAGTTTATGCAAAGCCATGTACTTTGTTTTTAAGGAGCAAATAATTTCAAGTTTATTTGCAAAAAAGTTATAAAAAACAAAACAAAACAATAAACTTACGATTACGAATGTAATAACACTACAGTCACTAACTGCATTATATAAGTAATAAAACCATAATAGTATTATTACTTTTATAAAGCATTTATAACTTTAAAAGTTCATTCTTTGTTCAAACAACATTAGTAATTTCAAACTTTAATCAAAGTAAAAAACATCTAAAAAAATAAAGTAGATAATCAAATACTATTAAAAACTTCAGGGACTTTTACAAATACACTAAAACAACAATATAAACGAGCTTTATGAAAAGTTTAGCATTATGAAAAACGTTACAAACAGTCCGTAAAAACGCGCGCAAATTTTAAAATCAATCAACAAAAACTTTTTATTGTTTGATTTTATAATTAATGTTTTTACGTTTTGCGTTTTTACGGACTATTAGTAATGTTTTTCGTAATGCTTACTGTTTATATAGTACGTTTTTATTAAGTTGTTTAAGTTCTTTAATAAGTTTTAAATATTATTT